AATATAATTAAATTACGATATACGAAGCGCTACCTAATGGATCTGGAAATCTTAACTGGTGAATATGTTCATATGTAAAATTAGTCAGCATTTCCAGTGTCTAGCCAGATTTTTCATACATGTCTCGAAAGCACGCTACTAGAAAATTACTTGGCACCACACCTCACTAAGTTGGGCTAAGCGTGAATGGAGGCTCTATCTTTAGCCAGGGACTTGGGCCAAAAAGGAAGGATCAAGGAGTGTAGTCAGACGCGACTTTGTGTTACGATACATTTTTATGGCTATGTAACACTGAAGTTATCCACATTCCACGGCTGTGGAGGTAACTATCAAAATTGTTATTGGCACTTAGAATCCGAAAGAGACCATTGAAATTTCTAGGACACATAATGAAAAAATGATTTTTGTAGAATTTGACACTCACAAGGCCTGTTGAAGGGACAGTGATGAAACAGCACGTAACCTGTTTGTGTAAATAGGTGACAGTATAGGGTTTAGGATGGATATTATAAAATAGTGTTAAGAGCTTCGAAGGATAGGAAGGTTTCAGATAATCATGATCGCCTAGATCCTTACGGGACATGGCACATAGAAGAAAAATGTAAGCTGAAATTTGACTCGAAGCAAAAGAGCACTCGGTTAAAATCGAACAATACAGCAATCATGTTTTGAAACTCAAATGGTAAGCTACACTAGCTATTTATTAAGCTCAAATGTATTTGATCCTTTTTTGCTTCGTCTGTTCTCTACTAATTTCAATCCGTTATAGCTTTTAGTAATGTTGCCCTTTTGATATTCCTTCTACTTCCTAATGTTACAGAATGCAGAGGCTGGGCCGGCGTGGTCAGCGGTTGGTCAGAATATATCGTGGGCGTGGTATTCTGACAGTTGCCTTTTGTCGATATAAGTCCAAAACGGCGCGAACTCTACAGAAGGCCGCGGGAAGTTTTAGGTGTCGAAACGTTTCCCAGACGCAGATTCGAGAGACAGGCTAAGACTATATGCGGAGGGGCACTAAGCCAACGAGCGGCATGCATCTCCTTGAAGTTCTTCCTCCCGTTGCCTCCTAGAATCCATGCTGTCACGTCTATCCCACTCCTCTAATAAAACGAGTAAGAAACCGACTTTCGTTGATACCACCTATTTAGTAGCTTTGAAGTCCAGTGACGGCAGAAAGGAAAGACTCTTTAACCAAGTTGATTAGGTACGCTACTTGCTGTTTTCCTCTGTTCCTCTTGCCTTCACTATGTCCTTTGAGTGTCATATCCTCTAAAGCTTCTTTCCTTATTTGTTGTCCCAAAACATTCAACTATCCCTTTTTTTAATTCTAATTATAAGCATCCTATACTTTTGTCTATATTTCTGAGATGAGGTAGTTTAACTATTTCCACTATTTACATTGTTCGGATTGTTGTCCTCGTCTTTATTGACATATTCACGACGTTTCGGCCGTTGGATGTTCCGACCTTCTTCAGGTTACATTTGTTGGAATTTCGAGCGCAACACTTTATTTAGTCCACGTGGGTAGATTATTCTAATTCCACGTTCCATGCCTCTGGATACTCCAATACTTTTGTTTCATTATCCGTAAAATTTCTTCGTTTTTCACATGCTCCTGGTATTCTCGGCATTTACAATGTCAAAAAGTGTGGCGCACTGATATAGAATTAAATCCACTAGAGTAATAACTATTCTAAGAGAACATCACCGCGACGATTCGTTTCCATTACTTATTCGGCTTAATATAGCCCGGAGCAAGATCACTAATGTAGCGTACCCAGCAATGGTCTGCCTTATAACACTAACTAAATTGATCTGCGAGACACGAAGTTAGCCGTCACCGCCAAGAGAAGTGGCCAAAAAGTAAAATATGAACCAAGCATCGCATTTGACATGAGATCTACCTTGAGATTAAAGTTAGTTTCTGGTCAATAAATTAACACTCGGGTCGATAAAGTTGGCATTTCACATCATATTTGGCTTTTGTTCGAGCAAGACACGATTCACCGAAAATTATTCGTGATTTCCAAAATTTCTTCTGTCCATTTTACTCAACGTTTCCCTCGTAAATTTTCGAAAGAACAACAAAGATTTTCAAATCTGACCAGACGCACTCCCTCCCAAGCCGGAAAGAGAGAAATCAATCGAGAACAAAGTAATTGTCGTGCCACTATTTTCCGTTCGATAATCCAACAAATAAAAATACTAGAATGTTTCCGTATCATCAAACGAACACCACCTTTCTGCTTTTATGTTTTAAGAGCTTTTTTTTCTTTAGTTTCTTTATTTTTTAATTTTTTTTTTTCAAGTCTTTTAGTTTGTCTAAACCCACCTGACAACATTTGCGCGAGTTTTTTGTAACACACACACACACAATATATATATATATATATATATATATATATATATATATATATATATATATTGGTTTTAAGGTGTGCTATATTTATGAGTTAAAGTGCTCAATATCAGAGATAGAGCTTATGTAAATATAAAAGTGAACATGGAAGTCAACACTCAGAGGCGAGAGGCTGTTTCATGCTAGACGCAATCGTCAGACCGTTTATATATATATATATATATATATATATATATATATATATATATTATTTATTTTTAAAAATTATAACATAAATATGTAAAAAATCACTACAAAAATAGCCATTTTGTTTCAACACCTCCGGTGTCTTATCAAGTGATGATGTTGTATTGAGCACTCTTTTAAGAATATTAATTGTTGGTTATTGGAATTCATTCCGTATACACCAATTATATACTTGGGTATATATATATATATATATATATATATATATATATATATATATATATATATAAATCATAGTATGTGTATCTTTTCCTTTACAGTTTTTAGCTAAAATTTTATCTGTAATTTTCACTGTACATTTGATGTTTTGTTTAACAAAGACACGTTAGGTTAAGTAACTTGACAAAAATAATATATTTGTGTAAATGTTTGCATATATACACATAAATACAACGATTCACTTACATTATAGAAATATGCATATATCCTTTTTCTTAAGCATGTATGAGTTGCTATATTTTAAATTCCATTCAATGAGATTGATCGATTCATTCTCTGCGGCTCATCAGCCCTTTTGCAGGTTGTTTAAACCAGAAAATAATTTTTGATTGATTTTTTTTTTTTTTCGATAATAATGATTTAATAATAAGTTTTACTAATTAGCCCATAGCTGTTCGGGAAGGGGTGGATTTCTACCTTTCTCAGTGATATTTGTGCGTAAATGAATATAACGAACCCAACTGAAATTGAAACTCGGCTCTCCGATTACCAATTCCGAGCCCTTATCCATTACACCGGCTGCACATCCAAGCTAACAACACCTGCTATTTCCAAGCATCCACCGATCTAAGTACCGACTATGCTCTGTTGTTTAACTACGGTGATTGTTTAAGTATTCGGTAATAGTAAAATTTTAGAAAATATTCTTTGTAATCTAATGTGTTATTGAATTTTAAATACTTTGGCTTTAAATTTTCTGATAATATCGTGTATGAAGACCCATATCTACAAAAATCGGCACGTTTATACACACACAAAAAAATTAAAAATTCTTTTAAAAATATTGATGTCTGATGAATTGTACTAAACTTTTCTACTCCTGATTAATAAATATATTTTTACTTGATAATAATATCATCTAAAAGGGTGACATTAATAAAGAATTTATTTAAAGATTTAAATCTTAATAAATTATTACAATTTTAAAAAAATGAAAATAATTCTTCTACAAATTCATTAATCATCAAAAACAATGTTTTCTTAAGACAATAGTTTCCTTAATAACTAGTATTTATAAAAGCAATTAAAAGCTTTTCTAATTAAATAATGTCTTAGTTTTATTCCATTTTTTTATTTTACGATACAGAGCAGATGTTTGGTAAATAGTGTTAAAAAAACAATTGATTTAGATTCTCAAAGAAGTTTTGTTTTTAACTAATATAAATATTAAGTGGACGAAAATTTAAATTTCTCTAAATTTCCTAAAATTAATTTGCTTGCTTTGCTTTGTTTTACGGCATATCAACCTCAATGGTTTATTTTAATGCAGACAAAATTTTTATTGCTGGTAATATTTTGTTTTGTCAAAAATCTATTTCTGGTAATATTTAAAAAAAAAAATGTATTGCTAGTAATATTTACTTTTTAAAAACATTGTTGGTAATATTTTTTTCAAAACAGTATTGCTGGTAATAATTTTTAAAAGTATTTCTGGTATTAAAACCTATTTTTACACTTGCATGGTGTTTTGACCCCAGTTTCGGGGTTAACTATTTGCCCATAGCTGGGACCCTAACAGTTGCTACCACCCAGGGTCAGGGTGGACCTGGGAACACCAGCAACTAAGAGGTGGTTCCACGTTCCTCAAAACCTGGTCAGAGCCCTTGCTGCTGGACGTAGTTTATCGTTTTACCCAGGACGCCGATGTAGTTTATCGTCATACCCAGGACGGCTAAAATTAATTGGGGGATGGTAACAGATGGTTAAAAAAAAAAACATGTTTTTACCAAGATTTTTTTTTTTATTTCTAAAATAATTTCCATCACTTTTTAATAAGTTCTGACAGTTTCATTAAAATCCTATAATTATTTTTTTTTTCAAGAATTTCCGTATCAGTGAGATATTTACTGCAAAAAAAAAGTTAAATTTTTCTATAGTAATCTTTGAATCTGCTGAGTCAATAAAAACAAGATTATGGGCCTAAATTTCGAACGTACTAGAAAAGTTTAAAAAATTTAATTAAATCGTCAAAACATACTTTGGTCTTTCCTCTTAATAACATACAGATTTTGACGTTAAAACTTTGTTTTTATCAAGTTTGGCGCATTTTTTTCATCATAGTAGGCTATTTCAGCTAATTAGTAGCGGTACCTTTTATATATATATATATATATATATATATATATATATATATATATATATAAAATGAGAGATATGGAGTAAAATAAAAGTAGCTATGTCTCCTAAGCCCGTTAATCTAGTGATTCCGGGTGATTATAATTAGTCTTAATGACGTCAACATTTCTGCAAAATGGTGACATCAAATCTCAGTTGAACTCTTTATTTTTTTCAAACGAAGATATCATAAACTATTTAGGCGGATTGTCGCCGTGTGTGGATTGCCTTCTGGAAGAACTATATACTTGAAATTTGCAAGCAAACTATTTGTTGTCAGCAAAGTCAACTGTGGTGAAGATATTTCGGGAATAGCAGAACCTCTACGAATGTCAGTTCCACTATTGCTATTTGCACATGCCGTAATTTTTTTTTTCACGCGTGGCACTACTAAAATATTTTCGGTAACGTTTCTCTATCAATCATTCGCGTAATTGGTAGGTTAAATGTGTTTCTGTATGTTTTTTTTTATTGATTTTATGGTATTATTAGATTAGAGAAAATATATGAGAAATCGATTTGAAATTGCAGACTCACCATCTTTTAAAGTTAAAAAAAAGAGAAAAAATAACGAAGTTTTACAGCTAAGGATTTAAACCTTTGGGACTTGGTTGAATTTTAGGAATTTGAAAAAATGTCAAAATCTGAATTTCGGTAGAACACAAGTAGTTTTCTAACGTTTACCAAAGTCACTTTTTGAGACTTAAGCGTCGTTCAATAGTTTATTTCATAAAATTTTAAAGTAGATCTAAGCGAAGCGGATGTTTATTTGCGCAGTAAGAACGAACTGCTTTCTCTTTTAAACTTTCCTTCCTTTACTTCTTTTTCTTACTTTTTTTTTCTTCTTCCTTTTTTCTTTCTCTTCTTTCTTTTCTTCTTTCTCTTCTTTTCTTTCTTTTCTTCTTCTTCATTTTCTAAGGATCGCCAGCCCTCTCTCTCTCTCTTTCCCAAAGTAATTCTTAAGTTCTGGCAAATTACCTTAAACATGAAGCTTTGTGCTAATATCATTATCCTTCTGATAATAGCGTAATTGCTTCGAAAGCGAAAAGAAAAAAGAATAATAAATACAGAATTTGTACGAATTGTTAACGAGAAACACAAGAGGAATCAGTAAATCACTTTAAATCTGTTTGATGAGGAAGAAGATTAGTTCTATAGGAGTTGTTCCAAAGAGCGAACATATTGAACATTCGTACCTATGTACATATTCAGCATGTACGAGTGTTTGGGTATGTGTGGGTACTGGACAAGAATCAGAATGATAAGAGAAAGACAAGATTGAAAATGGAGTCATTGTCCACGAAGACACACAGAGAACGCGAAATAGTATGCATACCAGCTTTTCTATCTTGCTCCTGAGATAAATTCCGGTAAATGCATCCGTGTACGTAAGCATTATAGCCGTGTATATATTTGTATAAGGATGTATGTACACGTAAATACACTTGACAAAATGAAAAACTCTTATTGACTTGATAATGCATGTCGCCATCCTTAGAGAGGTTTCATTAAACCAGAACGGAATAAATATGTCTGTTATATTTGCTTGTATGCTTCAGTATTAAATTGTGGATCTTTTCCGTTTATTCACCCGACAATAAAAAGAATTTATATTTACTACAATTCACACCAAATTCTCCCAGAGCGATGCCCTTTCATTGCATTCCGATTGGGTTAGCTTTACGCTCGCCCCAAGTGTGGGTGACTCAGGTGCGCTATTTCTAAGTGTTAACGTTCGGGCTCACTCCGATAAACAAGCCAAAAACAGATTTTTTTTTTAAATTGTAAAAAAAATTCCTTGTGAATAACACCCTGATTTTTGGCGATTTTTCATTCTGAGGGTTGGAGTTGTTGCAAGGTAAGTTAAACAAATTTTGATTTAAAATGCGTAATTTCAAAAGTGATAAACATTTAATAAAATCAAAAATTTGTTTTAAAATTTCTGTTTTCTTGGGATGAATTAATATTTTACATTATTTAGCGGGAAGTAACAGAAAAGATCCTAAATTGTTAATACTTTTTACGCTAAACTGGCGTTTCTCAGACAAGACGAAAGAACACAACTGTGCGATAATTATCCAGTTTTCCAGAATGGGCTGAAAGTAAAAGATTTATATATTTTCTTAAGTATAGATATGTCTTTGTGTTTTCCATGTCGACAAGATTTCTATTAATAGGATATAAAATCCAAACAAAGTTTGATAAATTGTGAAAAACTTTAGAAAAAGTGGGAACCAAATTAATAAATACTTTTCTACTTTGTCTGGATTCTATGTTCTATTAAATACACCTCTTGTCCGATCAATACTCACATAAATACATGTATGCAAACCAATAGTTAAAATCGCCTTTAAAACCTTAACAAAAATCGGCAAAACCGTTTAAATAACGGTCACTTCAATTCCTTTAGCATAATAGTCAGTTTTACAATGTGAATATCAATCATCTGATGCCTATATATATATATATATATATATATATATATATATATATATATATATATATATATATATATAATGTATGTTTTCGTTAATTTGTAAATACCTAGTGTACCACCTCTTCTCCAGCTTTAGGGAGGAAGTGTTTTAGGTTACAATGGGCGCTTACAAAAATAAAAATACCTACATATTATCTCCATATTTATTTTCACAATCAAGAACTAATTAACACAGGTAGTAAGAGTTCATGTGCCTTCACTTATTAATAAGGTCGGATCTCTTAGGGAGATGGTCTTACTCGGGGAAAGTGATCACTTCTCAAAAAACAAGCGACAGTTGTTGGAACCTGCTTCACACCCTATTGCACCTTCTTATAATTTTCCTGTTAACAGTTGCATATTAGTTAAATTTATCATTGTCATCCCATATATCTTTAGACAGTGTTGTGCTGTTGGCAAAGCATATATCATGGAAATATGTTTTATGACTGCAAAATATCATGTCTGGGCTCCTCTTCGGTTTTCACTATAGTTTCATAAACAACAGTCAACATCAAGCATATGTGTGCAGGCTTGCGACTACATCACGTCGAAAGCACCGGTTCTCGTACGTTTGTGAATATCAGGCGCTGTAAGCTCGAATGTGCGGATGGTGTAATGGATAATGGCTCGGAATTATTAATCGGAGAGCCGAATCTCAATTCTAGTTGGGTTCGTTATATTCACTTACGCGCAAATACCCTTGGGAAAGGCATGAATCCACATCTCTCTCAGCTATGGGTTGATTAGTAAGATTTGTATCACTAAACAGTTATCTCCCCCACCCCCCTAAAAATAATTTTTACATTAAAAAAATTATTTTCTGGCTTTAAATAACCTGCAAAGCATTGATAAGGCGTAGGGAACGAATCAGTCAACAATATATATATATATATATATATATATATATATATAGTTTTAAGGTGTTCTATATTTATTGTATAAAGTGCTCAATATCAAAGATAGAGCGTATATAAATATGAAAGCGAACATTGAAGTCAACACTCAGAGGCGACAGGCTGTTTCATACTAGACTCAATCGTCAGGCCTGACGATTGCGTCTAGTATGAAGCCTAGCGTCTAGTATATATATATATATATATATATATATATATATATATATATATATATATAATGTGTGTGTTTGACCGTTGATTGATTTGTTTTCTACGACTTATCAATCAACAAATATATAAATATGTGCTTTTATGCGCACACACGCATAAAAGCACATATTTATAGATACATATTAAATTTAGTTTTGTCTGCTGCGATGCTATTCTCACAGATCACTAGGACTGTAATGAGTATGAGCCATTGTTAGTGCGCCACAATTGTGACCGTGTGTCAGACTAAGTAAATAACAGAAATGTCTAACACAAGGGCGCTTCCCTTTGAGCTAATATTTTGCGAAATATTCTGAAAGATGCTTTCAGGAAGCTTAACAACGTATTAAGAAACCGAAATATTTCGTTAGAAACAAAAAATAGTGCTGCCCTAATGTATCATATCAGTCCTTAAATATGGCTGTGGATACTGAATAGATGAAGAGAAAACTCTGGGTAGCAAAGATGTGGTTCTAGAAAAGGATGCTAAAAACACCATGGAGAGAGTGTGTGAGCAATGAGGATTTTTTTTTCAGGAAAACGAAACCATAATGATAAGTGAGGGTTCGGAGAATTTGACGCTCACACGGCATACTGATGTTGTGGTGGATGCTTGTATATTTGTGCAAACATTTAGGTATCATTATGTTGCGGTAAACAACACTTTGGATAGTAAAATGTATCCTACAAACAGTATTGCCGGACTCGATGTGAGTCCAAGGAAAAATTAATGACACAAAACGATAAATATAAAACGAACAACAATGCATGTATTTGCAAAAGGAATTACATGTAACTAAAGAGGGGAAAAGATGTAACTAGCTATAAAAGAAAGACACAAAGAAACAATCAAGACTTTACCCACGTACGAAGTACATCTTATAGACAGAGTTGGGCGAGGTGAAAAAAAAAACTGTAAAAGAGGCTAAGGAGAGAAATGTACGCCTTTTTATAAGCTTAAGAGCTCCCTAGTGGCAGTTTTTGGCAACGTCAAGTGGGATAACACACATTGAAGGCAAGCGGAGCAGAGGGAAGCCTTGTGTAAACTACCTAAAGAACTTTCATAATTGGATGGCAAAACAGATCAGAGGGACAGTAAGGCATCAAACATTACTTAGAGATGCGAAGGATAGGAAGTTGTGGAGAGCCATAAATGCAGGATACCTCGCAAGGATCGAACTCTTTCCAATATTGAACAATTAACGGAATAAACGTGTTAAGCATAGCTTTAAAATCGACCGCGCATGCGCATTTTTTTTTTCCACTTATTATTAATACATACTTGCACCTATTTCTGTAAGATTGACGAAATTGGCAATGTTCGGTTGTAAATAATGCCTGGAACAAACATACCGATTTAAAATTTCCTTTGACGACAAAGGAAAGCGTGGAGAGCAATGATTACCATAACCCTCGGAATAATAAACTTTTTTTTATTTCCATTTTCATCGAATCTGTTTCTCTTTGCTTCTGTCTATATATCCTTATTATTTGCAGGAAGTATATTAATGTATTTGTGTCTGGGGTTGAAAGTTGGGCGGTGGCCCGGAATAATATCGGAATTTCTGCCAAATGGCAAGAGTCCCGAAGACATTTCTTATTGGACAAAGTCTCCCAGAAAAGTTTATCACCGATGACGGAATAGCAGGATTAAGGTGCGTTGTGTATATGGTTTCGAATTAAATATTTTCCTTCTCCTTGGTGTGATTGTACTTTAGGCCTGGTACTGGACAAGCGCAAAAAGATAATCCTTGAGTTATACTCGAAAGTATTGCATAGTTATTTTAGAGCGCCTATTTATGTATATGTGCTTATATATATATATATATATATATATATATATATATATATACAAGTTTGATTAAAAAGAATTGACAAGGTCTGTATGTTTTATTTTCCTTTTATTATATTTTTCCAGTTTTCGTATGTGTTGAGTTTTGTGTTCGAAATTGTTGATAAACTACCCGAAGTTCATATTTTGTTATTTTTCTTCAGGTACTTTCAAATACCTAATCTGAAAAATACAAGAGAAAATTAAACAGACAGGCCTTGTTGGTTCATTTTAACCAAACTTGTTTGGATGAATACTTACTGCCTAAATATACTTTACACACACACACATACATACATACATACATACATATATATATATATATATATATATATATATATATATATATATATATATATATATATATATATATATATATATATATTGATAAATTAATATCAAACACTTAAAATACCGTAGGTAATAATCTTTATTTCATGAAAGCTATGAAAATAGCCTTCAACCTTTCAGACCTGCAAACCAAATTTAAACTAAAAAAATTACTCCGGGTTAAATTCAAGAGATACAGATATTGTATTGAGGGAGAGAG